ACTTATTGGAGCGGTGTGAATAAAATAGAGAAAGGGGATGCTTAGAGGAAATAGGTCACATTTCTCACACTAGGGAGAAATTCAGGATTTTGTTTAATATTGCCTTATAAAATCAAAAATTTAAAACTTATACACTATTAAAATATGGATTATTAACAATAAATTTATCCTATACTAATTGATATAACTGTTGGTGTAATTTATGTTTTGAATGTAAGTCACTAATACATCGTGACATGTGCAGTAAAAGATGGCAGTGGCAATACAGTTAAGACAGCCCAACTGAAACATTATTCTACAGTACATGAAATTTTGAACAATATATTTTGATTAATATTGCATTCCATAGTCAAAAAGTACTTTTTATTATTTTTCCTAATTATATAATAAACTGTCATGAGACAGTTTTGTCTTTATATGGATGATCACTGAAGCTTACAGACCAGTGTGTACTAACTATCCTCTTTTACAGTAAACTAGTAAGAGAAAAACACAAAATCTGCAGAACTTGTGTATATTAAAAAAGGAAAACAAAACTGAAGAATTCTTTTTACATAACCACTATTTTTTATTCATTACGAATACAGGTCAATAGTTTAACACAAGGATCTGATAACAGAATAAAAAGATAAACACAGGAGAAGCATATCCAATACACAAAATTTGTTCTGTTCAGTTTTTGTTTTTCTTGGCAAAAAAAAACAGTTTACTAATTTAAAAGCTTATATACTTCTTCAATCACAGGGAGATTTACATAAATGATAACATAATACACATATTAATCAAAAAAGAAAGAACTGCAGCCAAAATCTAATTGTTCCTAGACACTCATCAGCCATATAAGACACAACACTAATGAGTATTTTGTGACTAACCAATTCTGAATAAATATAGAGACCAACAATCAGCACCATTTTATTCTTTTTTTTAGCTACCATCACTCTAGATGGCAAAGATTTATCACACTGCATACTATTTAGTCAGACAACTATTTTCTAAATTTGAATTACTCAGAATTCATAAAATAAATAAATATATATATATATGTATATTTAATTAGCCTATTACCTGTCCCATTCCTTCTTCTATGATTTTTGTTGTGAGATACTGTGTCCAACATTCAGAACAAAATCGATGACTACATGCTAATCCTGTCATCATCTACAAATAAATATACAGTTGAATTACTTGTTCAAAATACAGGTCTTAATATTATCAATACCAGTAATGGCAAACAACTTATGATATAAACTGGTTACACTCTAGTGGCAGTAAGTGCTCTTATGACCTCAAAAAGTGGATTTCCTTGTGAACTTTTGAAGTATTATATACATTCTTAAGACAATAATATCAGGTCATAGTTTTTTTGCTAAGTGACATAGTTAATTGAAGCATCACCAAAAGATAATCTGGCTTTTATATGTATTAGATTCTGTATCTTCTCTCTAAAGTCCATTGGCCAAATCGAGCATCCAGTAGTGTGGCTAGCAAAAGTAAAGGGAAATGATAAAAAGTGACCATTTATGAAGGAAATCCATATGTGTACTTGGGTAGATACAGTTCAGTGACATATATAAGTAAATGATCCATTGATGAAGTGGGGAATGTATGCAGTCTTTTGTTTGGAAAAAGAAGTTTTATTTACTACTAGCGAAAGTACCGGGGTTTACTCAGGTTACTAAATTGATTTATTCTAGATGACTATGTCAGTGTATGTATTCTGAACCCATTTTAGCATAAAAGTATAACCTATATACTTTTGTTGCTCCTTTAGGGGATGTGGCCTATTTATAAAGGTAATATTCTCTCTGACTTGTCCCCTGATTTTAAACTTAAATAATAAAAACAAATAATATAAAAACAAACCTCTTCAATAAACGGCAACTATAAATTAGAAAACAAAAAAATTTTTTTTAAATTCTGTAGTTTATACATTTCTCTGTATACTTTTAACACATAGGCTCTTAACAAAAATATTAGGTTATACTTTTATTGCTAATAAACATGATATAAATCCATTGTGGGAACACATTATTACCAAAATGCATGCATGCACGCACGCACGTGTGTGTCTGTTCATCTGTCTGTGATTTATATCTATAATTTGTAATATAAGGACCCACTTCTTTTCTATGTGGTTTTCTTGCTTCATTAAAAAGATGTGCATGCACATGAAAGTAATAATACTCAGGTGCAGACCCTCATGGTTCACTTAGTATGGGTGCAAAATTTAAGGTTTCTAGGTTCTTTCCTCTTGGAGCTATGGTGGTCACATTTCTTTTCTATGTGTTTTTTTTGCATAAAAAGGTGCATACACGCATGCGAGCACATACATGGATAAGTAATAATCCCCAGGTGCAAACCCTAAGGATCCACTTAGTATTGGTGCAAAATTTCAGGTTTCTAAGTTCTTTCCTTTTGGAGCTGGGGCAGACATACATACACAGACACTTACGCATGCATGCATGCATACAACTGTGATTTCTATTTGCAAATTTTTTGTGATTTCTATTTCCAAATTTCATGTTTCTAGGAGCTATGGTGGTCACATATTATTTCCTATGTGGTTTTTGCTAGCTTGCCTCACATTAAGATGTGCTTGCACATGGATAAGTTATAATATCCAGGTGCATAGCCTCAGGGTCCACTTAGTATGGGTGGAAAATTTCAGGTTTCTAGGTTCTTTGCACTTGGAGCTATGGCAGTCACATATTCTTTTCTATGTGGTTTTTTTGCTTGCTTACCTCGCAAAAAGATGTGCATGGATACATACGTGGATAAGTAATTATACCCAGGTACACACCCTCAGGGTCCACTTAGTATGTGGTCAAAACTTCAGGTTTCTAGGTTCTTTCCTTTTGGAGTTATGGCAGTCTCTCTCTCTCACACACACATGCAGACATGCCCTTTTATTACTATAGATTGATAACTATCATTATAACTTACATTTGTATAAAATGAAAATTACAAAGTTGGTTGGGTGGTTGATTTGGGTTTTATGGCAGAAAGCACTGAGGCTATCTGGACCAGTCAACTACTTTTATTTCATAAGAGAGCAATAAATTGACCCTATGTGTACAACAAGGTCAAAGTACATATGTTATGACCTTTTAAAGACTTACATTCATAATTTAATTGAACAATTTTATTATCAATGTACAAAAATAAATTTGGCATTAAAACATAATTTATAATTCAAACAGTAAAAATATCTAAGTTTTAATTTCTTAATTACAAAAGGAAATTACGTATCTAAAAGATGCGTTAATTATTTTGTGGACAACTAACATAGTGGAATTTGAGTATAAAATTCCCTCTACTCAGACCCACGTGCTAAATTTCTTGTTTTTATGTATTATTTTTTAACAAAAGTACCTAATATTTAATGATTATAAATTTTCAGTTTATATGATTAAAAATACATCATTTAAATTGCACTAGCACATTGTATGAGTTTCAGGGACTATGAAGTTTGACAGCTCCCATCAAGGCACAAGTTACGACATAATATTCTTACCAATAATGATTCCACTGTAATCTATTGCTTTTCACATATGATGAATACAAAGACTGGAAATAATACAATAAAGTTAAAAGCAAAAAGATGTCAAAAGGTTACCATGAAGATACTTAAATTGAAGATCTGGCAATTAATGACGCATTAAAAGCAAAAAAGCCATTACTCGTTTTATTTCACACAAGCTGAGGTACCCATTCTATGTCTGGGTTATGAAATAAAAAAATTTTTTAGGTGGATGCTATGATAAATAACAGAAAAATCCTAACTTCCACACAATTTATTTATAACATATTATTACAGTGTTCATTATTCACTTTGGGGAGATACAGAAAAGTGTCCGGATCCCATCAGATGGCTGCTGTAAAGGTCTTTTACTGGAGAATGCAATGTGTGTCTATGAAACCTGTATCTAAAATCCAGCAAGAGTGAGCCAAAGAAGTGGGCAATCACTTCCCTGGTGCTTTCTTTTTCTGTGATTGGACAGTTGAGTAATTTTAATAACACAAAATATCTCTAGTGGTCTTGCAGAATACCCGATCTAGCAGAGGTAGGGTGGATGGGTTGATTGCTTTCCATAACACCTGACCCAATGAAGATTTTGGAAATAAGCATACACTGGAAGGCAACACCGGCAATCTGGCAGTATCCTATAAGAGGGAAGATGGTGAGACGATGGTAATGAAAACGAAAATGTACTTTTCCTTCTCAAAGATGGGGTGGAGTTTTATTGAAGAGCAGCAACCTGAGGGAGTCAAACTCCAGCAGGAGACAAAACAGCCAGATGATGAAGATAATGGAAGTTGAACATGTATGGATTTGTCCAGATGCCAGCTTGAAGGATTTCATACAAGGGTCTGCAAAAGTAAGTGCAGGTAAGTGAGACAGCCGACTAATCTGATGCAATGAAATGTGAAAGATCAATCACCCTTCTGAGTTGCCAAAGTCTTAGGGAAAAAAACCTAGTCTGGGTAGAGGAACAAATAAGTACACTGAAAGAGAGTGCAGGAAGCACAAATGGCATAAGAAAGAAAGAAATGTCTTCAGTGAAGGAAGGATCAAAACAAAATGTAGCAGACAGAAACAGAAAAACCTGACAGGAATGGGAGAGGCAAGATGTAGTTGATAAAACTACCTGATAACCAGCAATAGTGGAAACCAACAATCCATAGTCAAAAAATGATGTGAAAAAGGTTAAAAGATGGCCCAGAGGAAGTGAGTGGCTGATGGACCAACATCAGAAATCCCACCACTTCTATTAATAGATGGACTAAGTTGAAGGAAAACAGGAATGGAATAAGAAAAAGGCTACATGATTGGAGAGTCCAGCCCTATGGGCAATGGACTAGACAAATTCCAATAGTGAAGAGAAAGGGACAACAAAATCCTGGATGAAAGAGAGATGTGTACTTGAAGCAAGAGAGAGCAGGAATGAGGAAGAGGAAGGCCAGGGTGCCAAATAAAAAAGTAGATGAAACCAGGGTTGTGCTGGCCCAAGAGGCACCAACAACAGAACCTTATAAGGAGTGCAGCATATTAAAAAGGGGACACAAGGAGGATGATGAAGAAGAGGATATGCATATAAAAAAAGGTAAAAACCAGTCCTGACTGAGAGCATCAACTGCCAGGGCCAAAGAATGAGGATCACTCCAAGGGTAGGGCCCTAACTGGCCGAGAGGCAACCTGCCACTAAGTTCAGAGCCCCGGCACATGATAAGCCATGAGATGAGCCTGATGAAAATTAGCCCAAAATAGCAGGTGCAATGTGTGGAAGCAAAGCACCCTGGAACGGGTACCCCTGACATCTGATATAAGAACTGACCATGCAATTGTCAGAATAGATTTTGACCAACTGATCCATGAGAAGGAAGAGGAAATGGGAACATGCCTGAAGTGGCAAGAAGTTCAAGTAAGTAGATGTGGAGTGAACACTTGCTCTGGAGCCCATATGCTCCAAATCATGTCATCATTCAGAGATGCATCCTAGCCTAACAGAGAAGCAACTGCGAAATACAGAGGTCCTGTCATGGGGTCAGCAAAGAAATGCTCACTGCGATATTGGCATGGCTAAGCCACCAAAACAAGTCTTCAAAAAGAGACAAGAGGAGTCACATAATTGAGAACAATGGATCATGATAAAGGCTCCATTGTACTTACAATTTCCACTGCAGAAAGCTCATGTGAGTGCTACATGAAGGAATGAGTGATCTGACAGAAGTCAAGAGTCCCTTAAAGTAAAAAAACCTTGTGAGCAGTGTATAAGAGAAGCACAAATCTTAAGAAGACATTCCATTGCTCATAGGTGAGGTGGTGAAGGCTGAGCCTGAGTGAGATGGGAATTGTAGAACATACCCAGATACATCAAATATATGTTGGGTGTGAGAAAAGACTGGGAAGGCTTGACAAGACAGCTTGGCTGAGCATTCTCCCATAGAAAAATGCAGGTGTGAGAGAAGTCCTACAGAAAAGGGGCAAGGATAATAATGGAACCTCAGCCCTAATCTGTGAACAAGGTGGTTAATGCCCCCATGACTCATTTCAATACATAGAACATCAAAAAGAAGAGCACAGAACTGGAAGAAGTGCAGAAAACGTTTGGAGGACAAGGTAATCAGAATGTGTAAAAAGGCATCCGAAACATCAA